TTCAGATATGAATGTTCGTTCGGCCTTGCTTTGTAATTTAAAAATAAATAATTTAATGAAAAATAAGGTCATAATATATGAAAACTTCGAGACTCCCATGTGCTAATATTATTTGAATGAAATCAGTTTTTAGATTAGCCTGACATATGCAATGATTATCAAAATATGATCAAAATGTTCCAGGAATAATTATATGTGGCATGTTTTGCAGTGGGTACACCACGCATATAATTTTTGTTAGCTATTTCTTTCACTCGCCACATACTTCCACACTCACTATCTGCTAGTTCTTTTTATGCTAAAAATAAGAAGAATTTTATTAAAATGCTAATTCTATTTAACTTATTCCATTTTTTTCTTTCATTTCTTTAATTTTAGCAAGTTGTAAGATTTTTTCTTCTTACTGCTAATACAATTCAGCTATTCGAATTCTGCTATTCCTATTTTTTTAATTTTTATTTAATTCTACTTCTACATTTTATTTTTTAATTTATTTTATTCAAATTAACTACACATATTTTGTTTCATAATTCTAAGTCAATGTTTAGGATTCGATCCAAAGATCCCTGTCGTGTGAATCGAACAGGCTCAATGAGCTATACTCGCCACTATTAAAATTCAATGATCACAATTACAGTTATTTATATTATATAATTATTCTAGAAATTCCTTTATGAAATAATAGGGTTTATTTAGTAAATAGGTTTTAACAATATGGTTTTGGTTTAGCATCTTCACTCATCAGGTAGCTTCTTGTAAAGCTTGAATCCTAATAAAGTTTTTAGTGACGAATTATATATATATATATATATATATATATAATTTAATTTATCAATTCATTTATTTATTAATTAATAACTGTTATTACATTATGATATCTTAATATACTTTGTCAAATGATTCAAACCTGATTATAACACGTCGGTTTTTTTGATGCACACGGACAGCGGTGGCCGAGTTTAATTAATACAACGTAATCACATAACTGAACTGAAGCCAGGGTGTTCGCCGTTGATAGCAGATTTTAGAATTATTATCATATCATAATTTATAAGCGAATGGTGCAGACAACGCTGAGCCAGTCCTGTATGAAAACGCTTTCCTGTAGTTATATAGTTGAAAGATCATTGCCAATTCGAACACATGGTCTAAAGCGATTTAGACCAAAACTAGTGGTGCATGGTGTATCGTGCCTAAAGGTAAATTGTTGAAATTTTTTGTGCCAAAAATTAAAGTTAAAAAGAGCGGCAAATTTTTTTGAAAACTTTGAAATTTTTTTCATAACTCTTGAAAATGTTTACCTTTTTTCCAAATCAATATTTCGTAAAATTAATCAGCACGTCTCCTTATCATAGAAAAAGAAAGTTTTTTTGAATCATTCAATTCGGTTGATCCGTGTTCTCGAAATCATCACACATACATACATACATACATATATACACAAACACACACACATACATCCATTCTTTTTAATATATGCAAAATGATCAGAAGGTTTTGAAACGTAATATATATAAAGTTTTCATTTTCAATTTTTTTCGATTACTATAACTGTTAAAAAATGTTCCCTATGATTGAGCCCAATGCGATACAAATTTATTTTCCGTAAAAAATCAGTAATTAATAACAAATTGTTACTGAATAGTTGAGTAAAATTTATTGTACTTTCCAGCTGGTCATATTTTTGCTAAATTTTAATTGATTGTTTATTAATTTTAATTAAAATTAAGTAATGTTAATTAATTATTGTTAAAAATTGAGTAATGTTAATTAATTATAAAGTAATGGTAATTAATAATTAATGTTAATAGGTTTTAAAATTATGATAAAAATTTGCTGTTAAAAATAAATTGAAAGATATTGTAAACATATTAAAACAGTCTTTTTTAAATTAAACATGTTATTCTTAACAATGATCTACTTATTACCGAACAATCTTTTAAAAAATCATATAAAATTTCGGTAAAATAAAATTTCGATAATATAATTCTGTCAAAATTAGTAAAATTTAAGTTTCTCTGTTATTCAGTTTCTCTGAACAAAATATGCTTAAATATGTTCTCCGCCCATACTTTTAGCTTAAAATTGAGAATACTGAATCAATATTTGTGCTTATGACTTTTCTATAAAAATCTGAATTATTTGCATAATATTGTAAACGTATGTAAAAAGATCAAGAATAACTTGGTATTTACCTGAAAAAAAATATTGTAAATAGCTTCAATATCCACTTACTTAATTGAGATTGAAACCAAATGGAATTATATGACTAATTTTGATAAAATCATATGGATATGATGCTTTTCCTTTGTTCCTTATTTTAAATTTTTTTGTCAATTAATATATTAAAAAAATAAAAAAAATATTGTCTTTTTCTGTATTGGATGTGTTTGTTCATTTCTTATATTCAGTTTTCTCTATATTTGAAAACTTGCTTAGCGGCAGATCTGTAAATTGCTTAAACCTAACGATAAATATCTGTTATAAGTTTTATGTATCTAATGCTATATCTAATGCTGATAATTGCTTTAATCTTTTATAAAATCTATTCTTGAAAACAGAGAAAAAGTCGTATCATTTTTTAATTTAAATAGAGAATAAATAGATAAAAATTATAATAGGTAACAAATGTAACAACTAACTGAATATCACATAGCGCTAACTTTATAAATTAGATTTTAAAGTAGAAGGTTAAACTTTAGCATGTATTGTGAATAAAGATGAACACTTAAAGTTAAACACTCATCAAAAGTAAATTCTAAGTGCACATCTTTTCTATTCAACTACTTTCAGTAACTGATAGAACATGAACTTTTTGTTATATACGACTTCGGAACAAAAAAAGTTTGAATTAAATTAATATTGAAATAGAACGTGTGCTGCATGAATCTAATAAAAAGACCCTCCATATCGCAGATGACTTCTTTGAACAAAAATTTAAAGAATTCAAAAATGACAAATACAGGTAAAAATGAGGTAGAAAAATAAAATTAGCAGTATGCAAACCCACACATTACAATAAAATAAATTATTACTATAAACATTTTGAATAGGCGCCACCAGAAATGGTATAAGCATAAGTTATAATCCTTTGCATTATATATACGGAATTAAATTATTAATGAAACTTTCTAAGATGAAACATATGTTTTCGTAGCCGTAAATGGTTGTTTAATTAATTGTATAAGTTTTAAGGCTTTTGATTTATGTAACATACAACGCAATATTTAATTATTCAAGGATAAAAATAAAAAAGATTGTATAGATTGCAAGATAAAGGAAATATCTATTTTTATTGGCATATCAAATAAATTTGCTTAGTATAAAATTATTAACTTCCCGTACGGCAAGTTATAGTAATCGCAAAAAAATCGAAAATGAAAATTATTATATATCTTTACGTTTGAAAGGTTTCTGAAAATTTTGGCATACCTTAAATAAAATGTATGTGTGTGCGTGTGTGTGTGCGGATACAAATTTTCGTCGACGATATCGGGAACACGGATCAACCGATTTGAATAATTCAAAAAACATTGGATTCGTATTGATAAGGAGACGTGCTGACTAGTTTTTGACAAAGGCGAGTGTAGCCGTTCCGAATATAAGGGGCAAAAAGTGCCAAAAATGGTAAGTTATATTTTAAGAGAACGGAGCGTCCGATTATAATAATTTAAAAAATTTTTACTTGTATTGACGAAATAAACAACTGTGAAAATTTTGGGAAGGTAGGTCTAGCGGTTATGGACACTCAATAAAAATAAGTTAAAGAAATGCCATTTGACGGTCAAAAATGTTTATTGGACATATGTATATCAAATTAACAGATATTTTATAGAAATTTTAATAATGTGTGTACCCATTTTGTGTAAACTTTTTGGGTTCCGCACCAAGATTTTTAAATTTAAAATTCATGTATATGGTTCAAACAAATGTCCTCGACATTTTCGACAGTATTGAATAATTAATTTGTATGATTAAAAAATCATTCGGTTCGTACTCGATCGCGAGGCGTTTTTGCAAAAGGCAATTTTGCCGTTTCGGAGGTATGGAGCGCATAGGGTGTAAAAACGGTTAAGCAGTTTTTGAGAGAACGGATTATCTAATTAGATTAATTCAACAATCATTTTGCTTGAGTAGATGGTGTGCAAAAAACGCATTTATAAAAAAATTTAGTAATTTTGAAAATTTTCAAAAAAAAAATTAAAATTTTCAAAAAAGTTTTAAGTTTTAAAAAAAAACTAAATTTTGAAAAATTTAGAAAAAAATTATTCCTTACAAATATGTGAGAATATTTCGAAAATTTAAAAAAAAACGAATATTTTCAAAAATCCCTACATTCTCAAAATATTTAAAAAAACGTTTTTTCAAATTCCAAAAATTTTAAACTTCGAACAATAAATCAAAATTTGGAAAAAAAATCTAAATTATCAAAAAAATCAAATTTAAAAAAATGGTCTCTTGTGAACGTACACATAAGTCGTTAATAAAATACGCTCATCGCCCAATTTAAAAAGGACTTATAAATTTACAGTATGTATTTATAATAAATAATGTATTTGAAAATTTTCAAAACAATTATTGATTATTTTCATTTCACGAATGTTTAATTACGGTACGGGAAGTTCCAGCAATTTGCCTTAAGGCACGATGCCATGCGCCCCACTAGTAATAAAATTCCAATTAGTGCAGTCGATCCACTAAGAAAGAATCAAATGACCAGCAAATGGGCGGATGATGCCGAATATATTTTTTGTAGAATGTTCTGAAAACAAATGACAAACTCGCATTCTGACATTTATCAAACAAACAAAGTAGAAATCAAATCTCATTGTAAAATTAATTTATCGGTGAATGTTTTCTGCTGAAACAATGATTCGGTAAGCTCTTAACAAGTATACGATTGACTTTTAAACTCACATTGTTTGACTATTTTCTTACATATAAAAGATTTGTCAACGTTTCAGAGGTGATCAAAGTAAGGACAACATTGTTAAGAAGCCAGAGAGGAAGAAGGCTACTGAAGGCAAAAAACATAAGTCTAAATGCCTTCCAGCAGGCAAATACTGCCTTATCAGTTGTGATATGGATACAACTGGACGGAGGTTAAAAGATGAAATATGCCATATAGCAGCATACACTCCGACTAGCCAATTTTCCCAGTATATCATGCCTTATGAAAATTTAAACCCGAGGGCCAGGCGAAGACATAATATTCGTGTTACAACTGATGGCCGTTTTAGAGTTTTGAGAAGCAATATAAACAATAAGGTTATAAGAACGAAGTCAGAAATATTTGGGTTAATAGATTTTTTGAATTGGCTAGCAGAAGTCAAGTCAAAGTCAGATAGAGCAGGTGTAATTCTCATATTTCATGAACCTAAGAAAATGGTATCTTACATGCTCTTAGAAGCTCTTCAACGTTACCATTTACTTGGAAAGTTTAGTGAAATTGTTAAGGGTTTTGCAAATGGACATGCATTAGCCGAAGAGAAATGTTCAGCTACCATGAAGTCTCTTAACCTTAAAGTTTTATCCAGAGTCTTACTAGATCGCGAAGAACAATTCGATAATGCATCAAATAGAGCAAAAATTATTTGGGAAATAGCTCAACATCTTGGTCAAGGTGAACAAAAGAACTTAGCAGCTGGTATTGGAGATCCAAATCGTGTAATATTAGGCAACATGGTTGAAGTAGTTCGCCAGTATTCCCATTCTATTTTTGTAGAATTAATTGAACTAAAAGAACTGCGCAAAGTAGCTGAAAGAAGTAGCTCATTCCAGCCAATATTTAGTGCAGCTAGGAAAATGAATTATCGGGATATTCAGCGCACAAATGTTTTAAGATCAATATTGGCTGAAGGCAAATCTGATTATAATACTATGAAAAGCACTTATGATACAAATGGAAAACAAGGCCTAATAAAGGAATTGGCCAAATTGCAAATTACAAGGAAAGATCAACAATATGATTTATTAGAGATATTGGACTCACATTTTGATCCAAAACGTACTGCTACATTCCCCAATACAAAAACGCCAAGAAAAACTGTAAATAGGAAATTAATTAAGACTGTTAGCAGTGATGATAGTGGAGCTGTGTCTCTTGATACAACTAGAACAACTTCTCCTTTAAAGAATGCTGCAGATAACACTGTGAAGACTAATTAATTTTAATGCCAGATAATCTTGATTTTTGATATACATATGTTGGTATGTAGTTATGAATTTAATATACTTTAATAAAACCTATTCAAATAATCATAATTCATATTTTTTAAGTTTGATTTAAGAAATCTTAATGTATAACTTTAATTTAAATGTTTAGAGCTGCAAAGTTTTATGATACATTTTTAGCTCAACACTTTTTATAAATTCAGTTTTTGTTAATATCGAGAAGTCATACAGATTATGTTTGTGATTCATCGGTTTGGATTTACTAAATGGGCATTATTGAATAGTATTATTTTAAATTGTAACTTATATTCATTAAACTTTCTCTTAATATTTTTTGTTTATCTTGCTGAATGTATAAATTTATGAAAAACTATACATTTGAAATTACTTGAGAAAATACGAATTGTGAAATTCTTCAAATGAAAATTGATAATTTTGTAATAAGGGAAGACTGCAATTTATTGTGCAATGTAATAAAAAGTAAATGTAATTTGAAAGGCAGGTTGGCATTCAGTTTTCCGAATTTTCTAAATATAAGAAAACTATATCTGCCATATTCTGCCCTATTTAGGAAGTGCAGAAAATCATTTATGCTTTGCTATAATGAACTTGATAAGGCTTATCTTGAAAACAATATAATTATAGCAAATATGTATAAGAAACTACCAGAACTGTATATGTATAAGAAACTATACAAGAAAATACCAGTGAATGGAAGTTGATTATATATCAGCTTTTTAAAATGTTTGTAACTTTCAAGATAATCAGGGCTTAAAGCTCCGCGGGTAAAAGGTTTTACATGCTTGTACAGCAGCTTCACTCCTTTCGTAGTGAAAAAGAAAGAACTCAAAAGATGTAACAATTATTTGCTAAACACTTTTCAGATTAGGTTCATCCGCTAATAAAAATAATTACGACATTAACATAATGATCACATAATATATCTATTACGTCCAATATTACCAACAAAAATTAATAAATCTAAAATTTTTACATCTATATTTATTTTTAATTTGCGGATACTCATATGTATATAGACATTCTATAATTGCTAAAGAAGAAGTTTTTGTTCTAAAAAAGTAATTAAGGTTTGGTACGGCAAGTTCCAGCGATTTGCCTTAAAGCACGATGCCATACACTACTAGTTTATGTGTTATATTTACACTGAACTCATTATACAAATATACACACATATAAGTAAATGCATCCAAACAAACAAAAATTTATAAACAATGCATAAACAAGCAAATGCAAATAAACATAATTTATTAAGTACAAGATAATATATTTTTGACAAATATCTCAATTCGTCACTATGATAAAATATGAAATAAGTTGATGAAATTAAAAATTAACATACAATATCAAAGACAATCTCTTCATACAATGTGTGCTTAAGACCGTTCGCGCACATAGAATATTAGTAAACATTGTTTGACATATTACTCTTAATAGACAAATACACACTAAGGGAATGTTACCACGACTAAACAGCATAGGTAACTACATCTTCTAAATGCATAATAATTAGATTCTGTAATTTTGGTAACAAAGCTGAATGCAAATTTACATACATCTAGGAGAGACTAATATCTAAACTCTACGGAATAGTCGTATAGTCGCTTCCGCATGTTTTGTTGTCGAGGATTGTCTAACATGTTTATATGCGAGGAACAACAAACTATATAACATATATATGTATATATATATATATATATATATATATATATATATATATATATATACACTTAGTTTATTGCTTTATTAAATGGTTTAATAACATATCTTGAGATGAGTTCAAATCTTCGAGTTACATCCATAATACTTTACGACTGCCATATTTTATTAGATTTTAATAAAGTTTGAAAAAAAAGATAAATGAAAAAGTATGTGATTATATCATACCAGTGGCCTAAATTGATAATTTGGATTTTAATAGTAGTATAAATAAAAATGACCTAAAAGCCATTTAACTTACAGATATACAAAAATTGTTAATACACATCTTAACTACTAATTCGAGTAAAAAAGGTCTAATAACAAATTTCCAAAATTTGTTCCACGATTTAAATAATATTGTTCAATTTATAATTGGAGTATTAAATAAAATTGACTTTTCTCATTTTGTTACCTTTCAAAAAAAAATGTTTTTGCGTAATAATCCTATTTGAGAATTATGTTTTCTCGGCATTTCAAGTTATTCTGCATCGTCTGACTACCAAATTGGAAAGTATGTGTGAGTGATAAAAAATGACTTTCTCAAAACTGCTGCGCCAATTGTAAAAATTCATAGTTAAACGATTGCCAAAAAGTGTTAAACTTTTCGAACACTTTCGCAAAAAACTGGCATCGATTTTAAAAATTCAAAAACTACTCGAAAGATATTAGTTGGAAATTATGGTGTCGGCCTATTCGTTTCTTGGTAGTAAATTGTGAAAAAAATGATTTTAATGAAACTTTGTATGATGATATTGCTCAAGGTCTTATTAACAAACATCGTATTAAATATTAAGGACTATGAAAAGTACTTTTTTTAATTTTATTTTATTGTCAAAAACTATCAGAAAAAGTACAATCATATGAGCTATTTGGCTTTTATCATTCCCACACACACATACATACACAGAAAGTAATTCGGTTATAAAAAATATCAAAATTTTCAATAAGGAGCATGTCAAAATTTCAAAATTCAAGATTTAAAAGTTTCTAAATTTCAGTTTTTATGAAGCAAATTGATTAAATTGACATGCCTTCAAACAAATTGTCATTTACACTTATTTTACATTTTTTAACTTTCCGTAGGGTAAGTTATAGTAATCGCATAAAAATTGAAAATAAAAATTTTTGCATATCTGTACGTTTAAAAGTCTGAACATTTTAGCATACCTTAAAAATATGGAATGGATGGCCATGTTAACGGGACGATTTGGGCCGCACCGATTCAACCGATTTGCATGATTCAAAAAACGTTTGATGCCTATTTACGGGAATATGTGCTGATTCGTATTGACAAAGACAGGTCCAGCAATTTCAAAAATACGAGGTAAAATATAACAAAAATGGAATTTAGTTTTTGAGAGAACGGATCATCCGATTTGAATGATTAGAAAAACATTTTATTTGTATGGATGGCGTAGAGAATTGATTTAATTTTTTGGAAGATATGCAGCGGTTTCGACGAACCGATAAAAAAAGTTGGAAAAAATAGCTTTTGGCGGTCAAAAATAATCATTAGATATTTAAACATCAAATTTTACAGATATTGTAATAATAAATACAAATTGTTTATATTTCGATGGCCTCCGTACCGTAGACTTAACCCTTTCGACTCGGATACCGCCGAGCAAAATCTGGCGGCAAAATTCATATAAATCTCGAAATTCTCGTGTGGAAAGTGTTAAAATGTTCAACCATTAAACTACGAAACAATGCAGCCCTCGCTCGTTTCGATGAAAATAGCCACATAGCGCTAAATCTCTAAGTTTAAAAAAATAAAAATTTTCAAAAAAATTCAAATTTTCAAAAATAATACGGAAAGGTCCGGCAAATTGCCTTGAGGCACGATACCATGCACCACTACATATTTTTAAACTTTTATTTTTATTTTTATTTTTAAATCTGTTTTTCACAAAATTCAGAATTCCGAACCATAATAAAATATTTTTTCGATGGATTTGATCAGTGCGTCCACCGACCGTATGTTTATGGCGCAGCAGCGAGATCTGTCGGTATGTGCAGCATTGTATTGCGCGCGATGCAAGTATTCTAATTTATATCTAACGTGTCATCCTTTATACTCGGAAGTGGGTCATCTAGAAACGACCGTGGCGCTGAAGCGGCGCTTGCACGCAAAACTTCGCGCCAAAACATATGGCCCACATATGAAAACGCTGTCGGACGTGCTTTATGCCATGGCGTGCTGGCATTCGATGTGTGATAAACGTGCTAGAATCGAAATATATATTTGTTTTAGGTTCGTAATAATATCGTCATATTTCAAACTGATAGATTTGTCAAAAACTCATAACTGATATTTTTGAATAGTTTTGAGAATATCATAGAAAATCTCAATAAAAAGTATTAATATTGGTTTTGATTACTGTTATCACATCGATGAATACACGCAATATGAATAAATTATTGTTTTATTAATGGCCGTTAACTGAAACTCATTCAAGTAATGCGGTAATATAATGACTATATATGCGGTTTTTGAAATTAAAGACAACATTAAATTATCATCGCGGTGATAGGGTATAGGGAACGGTTGTTCGACTTTTTTTTAAACAGTCATAATTTCTTCAAGTTACTAGGAAGAAAAGTAGATTTAAGTCCACAACCCAGGAACGGTTGTGGCAGATATAAAATTAGGTTTGGAACAATAGATATAAACACCAAAATCGTTTATAATAATTGTTTATAATTGTTGTTAACTATAACATAACGCAACATAAATATTCAAACAAAGCTTATAAACACTTAAAATAGAACAATTTACAAAGTTAACAAGAATTCTTTGTAAAATCTTTATTTTTCTTATATTGAATTTTCCACCACAAAATCAGAATAGTTTGGCCGTTGTGAAGACTGTCACTAGCGTACATTAGTTTATTTAGGCACAAAATGCAAATGAAAATTTATTTTTAATATAAAGGCGTATTTTAAAATCTACAAGACCACCATATACATTCTGAAAGAGCTGAGAGGAAAAGTATGTAAACTAGTACTTTATTGACAGTATGTTTCACAACTCACAGAATGCAAAGATTCCAAATATATAAAAATAATCAGCAGCCAAAAATAACAGCAATAGAAATTAAATGTAATATGTTGACAAAGTTTTCAATATAAACTAACTACATGATAAACCCCCGAGATATTCTTTACGCACGTCACAAAGTAAAAAGTACAAGGCGTCTCCACCGTATTAAAATTCTCTAACAAGAGGTTCAGGTTTAATCATTCGCAATTTTGATATGGAATTTACAAATGGT